TTACATGAACAGGATCTTCCAGCCCTTCTTGGATAAATTCGTTGTGGTGTTCATTGATTACATCCTAATTTATTCAAGGACCCCGGAGGAGCATGGAGAGCACTTGAGGTTGGTGCTGGAGATTTTGAAGGCAAAGTAGCTATACGCTAAGCTTTCAAAATGTGAGTTCTGGTTGGATAAGGTGAAGTTCTTGGGACATGTTATTTCAGCTGAGGGGATCGCTGTTGATCCAGCTAAGGTGGAGTCGGTGTTGCAGTGAGAGCGTCCAAGGACTGTCACTGATATTCAGAGTTTTGTGGGTCTAGCAGGTTACTATCGAAGGTTCATTGAGGGATTCTCCAAGATAGTAGCGTTCATTTGGACAGATGCCTGTGAGTGGAGTTTTGATGAGCTGAAGAGGAGGTTGACTACTTCTCCTATGTTGGTGTTTCCCGACTCTGGTGAGCCCTTTGATGTGTATTGTGATGCTTCTCACCAGGGTCTGGGGTGTGTGCTGATGCAAAACAGGAAAGTGGTGGCATATGCTTCAAGGCAACTGAAGAATCATGAGGGGAATTATCCTACTCACGACTTGGAGTTAGCAGCGGTTGTGTTTGCCTTAAAGATGTGGAGGCATTACCTATATGGTGCTCAATTCAGCGTCTTCAGTGATCACAAGAGTCTAAAGTACCTGTTTGATCAAAAGGAGCTGAACATGAGGCAGAGGCGGTGGATGGAGTTTTTGAAGGATTATGACTTCTAGTTGATGTATCATCCTGGGAAGGCCAATGTTGTGGCTGATGCGCTGAGTAGGAAATCCATCCACATGTCTAGTATGATGGTGAAAGAGTTGGAGCTGGTTGAGGAGTTTAGAGATTTGAATCTCTATTTGGAGTTAGCTCAGGATCACATTAGTTGTGGGATATGATTACCATAACTAGTGAGTTCTTGAGGCAGGTTGGATAGAAACAATTGCAAGATGTTGAGCTGGTGAAGCTTCTTGGTTTGCTAGGTACCAAGAAGGCTGTTGGTTTTGAGCTGGGCAGAGATGGTATCTTGAGGTTCAAGGGCAGAATTTGCCTACCTCATCCTACTGAGCTGAAGAGAGTAGTTTTGGAGGAAGGTCACAAGAGCAGACTTAGCATACATCCTGGTATGACTAAGATGTACCAAGACCTCAAGAAGACTTTCTGGTGGTCTGGTATGAAGAGGGAGATAGCTGAATTTGTGGCGGCTTGTCTGACTTGTTAGAAAGCGAAGGTGGAGCATCAGAAGATGAGTGGCTTGATGCAGCAGATGGAGATTCCGGAATGGAAGTGGGATAGTATCACTATGGATTTCATTGTGGGGTTGCCTAGGTCGACTAAGAATAGTGATGCTATCTAGGTGATTGTTGATTGGTTGACCAAGTGTGCACATTTCTTGCCTGTCAACATCAAGTGGTCCTTAGAGAAACTGACACAATTGTATGTGAGGGAAATACACTACAAGAAAATGACGATTTTGCGACGGTTATATGGCCTACATTGCGACGGTTAGAACTGCCGCAAAGACAACTTTGCGACGGTTTGGGAACCGTTGCAGAATTGTCCGTCACCAGGCAATTTTGCGACGGTTATCAGAACCGTTGCACAAACCGTCGCAAAATTGGAATTGCGACCGTTTCATCAACTGTCGCACCAAATGCCTCTATATTAACATTGCGACCCTTTCATCAACTGCCTCTAAATTAATATTACAACCCTTTTTTTACCCGTCGGAAATTATAATTTTTTTTTATTTTAATAAATTTATTAATGTAACAATCCTCATATTTGGCCTTTCAAGGATTTTATTTCACGATATTTCACTGTTTAGCATGTTTTATCCTTACTTGTGCAATTTCTGGGAAACTTCCCAGAAGGTCACCCATCC